AAGGTTCTCAAGAATGCCCTCCAGCCTGCTCTTCTCGACTGTGAAGTGTCTTGGGATCTTTCAGAAGGATGCAGTGTCGAAACTATCCCACACGTACTACCACCCATCTTCAGTGGTAACAGTCTTATCGTATATGGCTTGGTGTCTGGTAATGCAAGTGTCAAGGGGTATGTCACTGTCAGCGGTGATTTGGCAGTGGGATCGCCAGATAGAAAAATCAAGCACAAAGTCGGTCTGGACGGCCTTAATTCTACCAACGACAGCAAGCTTCTTCATCGACTGGCTGCAAAAACCTTCATCCAAGAGAAGCAAGACGCCGATAACGATGCCACAAGGGAGAACATCATGAAAATGAGCAAATCAGCCCACATTGCATCGAAACTGACATCGTTTGTTGCGGTGGACCAAGAAAGCAAGCAGCCTGTTGCTGCATCACTTGGTGCATCGAGACATCAGGCGAGCACGTCATGGGGTACTCAAGGGTACTTATCTTTTGACGCGACCTTAGGTGGTATCCCTATGGGTATGTTAAGGAAAGGAAAGAAAATGAAATGTTTTTCAGATAAACTAGGCGCTGCTATGAAATCTAAATCCAAAAGAAGATCGAAAAAAGCGAATGATCACGAGCAAGGAATGGTTCTTGGTGCCAGTGATAATTATGGCGAGATCGAGGGAAGTTTTGCGCGTTCTAAGGGCCGCACTATGGCTTCGAAAACGCAAAAAWGTTGTCTTGAGATCGTTTCTCTCCAAAAAGCTTCAGGGGCGTGGGAACTTACTGCCGAGTTAGCCAGTATCTGTGGAACCCAGTTGGACGAGTTCAGGAAAACTTGCCCATCGCAGCTACCTACAGGAGACAAGGATACTCTGTGGGCTACGGCCTTGGCGTTAGCCTGTCTTAATGGAAAGTTCCCAAATCAAAAAGATGAATGGGAGATGGTTGCAACAAAGGGAACCAAGTGGTTGAAGAAAAATTTACCAAAAGATGGTTTAACCCTAGATGAAATTTTGGAAATGGCCGCTGTTATATTGAGAGTGTAATCGAGATAGTTGCGCAATCTCAGCGGTTATGGTGACTAACGTCGTTATAATATTGCAGTAATGGACTCAACGACCGCATTTTCAATATGAACTTTGACTGCTTYTTCCTCTCTTGTGATTGTTATGCACTCATGGTTATCGAAACGAAAAATAACATTTGAATTTGTAATTTTAAGTAAAGCACTTTGGTAACTTATGAATCGAGTTACGTGGCAATAACATTAACATACTGAATATAAATTTTGTCTCAACAATGAAATGATGTTAAAAGTTTACAATAACAATATATTAGTTCTTGTCCAATGTCCATATTAAAACAAAAATAAATCTGCAAAGAATTCATATGCTCATTGCAAGTACGTGTCGTGTTCATTTTTGCTTGAGTGAAAACACTTAAWRCATTGAAAACTTAAATATTAATGAACTAAATTGTGCTAAACCATGGGCGACGCATTTAGGGGGCTAAGGAGGGCTGGGGGAGGGGGTTGATGGTGATCAGGGTGGCTAAACACTATTTTAGGGTCAAAAATATATATAGATAGGAGTCATGACAAAAAGTGAATAAAAGAAAAAATGGGACTCGCCCTGCAAAAACCTWAACTAAAGCAGCGTTCACATGGTTAAAAAGAAATCATTTCCGCAGCCCTAAATCAATCCATTTAATATTTCTCTTTGGGTGAGCCATCCCCATTTGTGATGTTCTGATCCGCCTTACAACGACTAAAACGCATGCAGTGCATGAATTAAAAAAAAGTACTTCAGTGGTAAATACATTATTTAAACAATACAATATGTATAATAATTCAATTTTGTTGCCTTAAGGTCATTAAGGTTCTCAAGAATGCCCTCCAGCCTACCCTTCTTGACTGCAAAGTGACTTGGGACCTTCCAGAAGGATGCAGTGTCGAAACTATCCCACACGTACCACCACCCATCTTCAGTGGTAACAGTCTTATCGTATATGGCTTGGTGTCTGGYAATGCAAGTGTCAAGGGGTGTGTCAATGTCAGCGGTGCTTCGGCAGAGGGATCAACAGATAGAAAAATCAAGCACAAAGTCGGTCTGGACGGCCTTAATTCTACCAACGACAGCAAGCTTCTTCATCGACTGGCTGCAAAAACCTTCATCCAAGAGAAGCAAGACGCCGATAACGATGCTACAAGGGAGAACATCATGAAAATGAGCAAATCAGCCCACATTGCATCGAAACTGACATCGTTTGTTGCGGTGGACCAAGAAAGCAAGCAGCCTGTTGCTGCATCACTTGTTGCACCGAGACATCAGTACGTATACCGAGCACGAAAAAGACATCGTCCAAAAACTCTATCAAGAAGATCGAAACGAATAAAACTAGATAAAATTGATTACGGACATTACGACAGTAGTAATCTACCAGGAATGGTAGATTACTGTATTGATAGTCCCTATTATGGAGGAGCAGAGGTCGGGGCAGCATCCTTCTGCCACGAGTTCAGCGTCCCTCATGGCGACCCTGATGACGACCCAGGAATTGAAGAATACGATTGCTGTACGATGAGTGATCACTATGATTATGGCTCAGCAGAGATCGGGGCAGCGTCCTTTCAAGTACCTTGTAAGGGCGTCCATCAAGGCAACACCATGGCTTCAATAACGCAAAAAAGTTGTCTTGAGATCGTTTCCCTCCAAAAAGCTTCAGGGGCGTGGGAACTTACTAGAGAGTTGGCCAGTATCTGTGGGACCCAATTGGACGACCTCAGGAAAACTTGTCCATCACAGCTAACTACAGGAGACAAGGATACTCTGTGGGCTACGGCCTTGGCTTTAGCTTGTCTTAATGGAAAGTTCCCAAATCAAAAAGATGAATGGGAAATGGTTGCAGCAAAGGGAACCAACTGGCTGAAGAAAAATTTACCAAAGGATGGTTTAACCTTTGATGAAATTTTGGAAATGGCGGCCGTTGTTTTGGGAGTTTAGTCGAGATGCTGTGAACCAAAAGTTAAATAGTGGCTTCTTCAAGAACATATCAAATGTATAGACATAATCATTTTATTTTATTTTATTATTTTACTGAACACCTCGGTGTTACACGATTTATTTGTCAGTGCAGTTGAATCTCCAGTGACCGGACATCCAAGGGTTGACAAGGGAAACGAAAAAATGTCCGTTGGTAGAGCTGTCCGCATAATAGAAAGTGTGAACACAGTATGTTTATTATGTGGAAGAAATATGAAATCGGGTTTTTAGAAAACTGTCCGTAATTAGAGCTGTCCGCTTACGAGAACGTCGTCCGCAAATGGAGATTACACTACATTTCAAACTTATGATTTTGGCGAAAACAAAACATTAATTTAAGTCAGCTTTTCTACTGTAGACACATTTTGAAAAAATTACAGTACATG